GCTCACTGCAGCCTCTGCCTCCTGGGTTCAAGAGATTCTCCTGTCTCAGCCTCCCAAGTAGCTGGAATTACAGACATGCACCATCACGCCTGGCTAAATTAGTATTTTTAGTAGAGACAGGGTTGCTCCATGTTGGTCAAGCTGGTGTCGAACTCCCAAGCTCAGGTGATCTTGCCCACCTTAGCCTCCCAAAGTGCTGGGATTACAGGAGTAAGCCACCGCACCCGGCTTGCCATGGCATTTGTAAACTGTTGTGGCACTGTTGGGAGTGCAGCAGTACAGAAAACCGGAGGTCACTCTTGTCACCATTTTGGTTTTGGCTGGCTCCTTTACTGCAACCTGCTTTATCAGCAAGGTCTTTATGACCTGTATTTTGTGCCAACCTCCTATCTCATCCTGTGACTTGGAATGCCTTAACTGTCTGGGAATGCAGCCCACTAAGTTTTAGCCTCATTTTACCCACCTCTTATTTAAGATGGAGTTGTTCTGATTCATACACCTCTGACAAAACCATTTAATTTAAAGAGTCATAAATATGTGAAAAAGAGAATTATGTCTTTATCAATTTCCAAAAATTTCTATTGCCAATGATGAATAACAGTGTTCCTTGCACACTAATTTAGCCAAAAATATGTCTCCAGAAGTATTTTATAGAGAACATCATGTAGGAAATGGACCCCATCTCCACTCCTTGACTATTTTCTTTTCTTTTCTTTTGAGACAAAGTCTTGCTCTGTTGCCCAGGCTACAGTGCAGTGGCACAATCTCAACAGCCCACTGCAACCTCCGCCTCCCAGGTTCAAGCAATTCTCTGCCTCAGCCTCCTGAGTAGCTAGGATTACAGGCGCGTGCCACCAAGCCCAGCTAATTTTTGTATTTTTAGTAGAGACAGGGTTTCGCCATCTTGGCCAGGCTGGTCTCGAACTCGTGACCTCAAGTGATCTGCCGCCTCGGCCTCCCAAAGTGCTGAAATTACAGGCGTGAGCCACTGTGCCGAGCCTTCTTTGACTGTTTTCAACCTCAAAATTAAATCTCTTGGGGAGTACTTTCTGCACACCGTTTCTATTTTCATAACCATACATATCCTCAAACCACTGAAACCTGGACTTTATTCTCTCATTTTCATAGTCATGAAAAGGAAAAAAAAAGTTATTGATGGGGAGTACTATGACTTTGCATAATATAGATATCTTCACATAATCTAGGATTGTTAAAAATTCCTAACATGACTTTATTGGTCTCTGGTCTTCAATCAGTTAATGCTGGGTTGGGCCGGGGTTCACGTCTTTCCCGCCACTTATCCATCTACCCTCATTCTTTTCATAGCCTCACCCAATCTCGTGACTTGAAGTAACAGTTTACGGTAACAACTCCCAAATTCATATGTCCACGCTCCAGCCCCATGCCGAATCATAGGTTGTGTATATGGCACTACGCTTTGTGGTCTTACAGACGTTCCAAGCTGATCACACTCGACATGGGAGTCCTGGGCTTCCCTTCAAGCCTGCTGCACTAGCAGCCGCCCCACCTCAGGGTACGGGAAGTCCACACGTGGCGAACGCCGAGCGCATTACATCACTCGGAAGTCCCCGCATCCTGTGAAGACTGAGCGCGGACAAAGGAAGCCCGCGAGAGGGCGGTCTGTCTTTTCCAGCAGGTTGGGGCACATGTCAGGCGTCCTCCTTTGGGTGGCTATTTTAACTGCTCATTTATCCTTTCCTTCTATGAAAAGATCCCGAAAAGAGGCAAAGTGAGCGAGAAGTCGCGGGCCCAGCCCACAGCAGGGTAAGCACCTTTGTTTGGGATCTGAATCGGGCGAAATCCCCGTCTCCTAACCTCGATTTTCCTGAGCTAGAAGGGACCTGTCGACCCTCCGACTTGTGCCCACAGTAAAGCGGCGGCCCAAAGACGACGTGGGGGGTCTTTGTGCGCACTTACGTGGAGTCGGATGCGCTTGGTGAGTTTCCACACCCAGCAGATGTAAAGAAAAACTGCATTACCCAGAAGGCACCGCCCTTGCGTCGGCCGCGGACTCTGGGCCAATGACGGCCCAGGACAGGAGCGATTTTCTGCGGGTCCTGCGGAGGCGGGACTTCCGCTTCTTCGCGTGACGTCATCTCCCCGAGCCGGATTGGCCCTGAAACAGTGCGGGGCCTGGAGCGCTGGGTGGGCGCGTTCAGCGGCCTTAGCGGCCGAGGGTAGTGAAGCGGTTACGCCCCTTCCCCGCGTCTTGGCGGGAGCTTGACGCCCCGCTTCTTCCCTAACGGGTTGTCCCACCGGCGCCCGCCGGGGCCTAGGCCTTCGTAGCCGCCTTCCGCCTCCTCAGCTCCGACGCTGCGCCCTGGGCCTTGTGCGCATTTTTTTTCGGGGGAAACTGAGGCTCGGAGTGGGAAAGTCAGCCGAGGTAGACCCGCCCAGGACAGACAAGGGCTGCGGTCGGCTGATCCGCGGCATTCTTGGGATGGCGGCGGCGTGGATGGCTCCGACGCAGGTGAGTGGAGGCTTCGGCCTTGCTGCTGCACTGCTATTTCTGGAGGTCCCGTGGGCAGGCTGGAAGCCAAGACAGCCACAGGATTCTTCTTTGTCGCCATCGTATATTTAAGAGAAGCGGCTGTGGCTTGTCATTTTCTTTATTCGCAGTCCTGCGGCAGTGTTGGCCTCTGATAGGTGTTCAGTCCGTGATTGAAAGAGGATTGTTGGTTCCTTCTACGGATCTCATCACGCTTCCCCTAAATCCAACCTTCTCTGTTGCCTGCTTACCCTGTTGCCTGCCAGCCCGTACGCCATCCACCTGGCCAAGCACCCCTGACCTTGTTTCTTTGCGGTTTTTTTCTGGTCCTGTGCTCTTCAGAGCCACCAACCTGACGGTGCGGAGTCCTCTTCCCCTTCCCAGCCTTTCTCCTTGCACTTCTTTTTACCTCGAACACTGCCCTTATAACTTTTCAGGGCCTCCCTCTCACACCTTCCGGCCTCTGTCCCGATGTCACATATTTGGAGTTGCCTGTCTTCGCAATTCCGGCTAAAGTGGCGCCTTATGCCCTTGCCCAGAGTCTGGCATTTTTGTATTGAGAATCTGATGGTATTAAAGAAGCTTGTGGATTTGAGTTTGTCCAGGATGTAATGGGAACAAAAATAATTACGAAGAATGATAGTAACTGACTGTCATTGAGCTCTTGCTGTGGGCCGATCGGTGGATTATTTAACCCTCAACTCGGTTAATCCTGAATTTTTTAAAATTTATTTGTTTTTCTTTTTTGAGACGGAGTCTTGCTCTGTCGCTCAGGCTGGAGTGCAGCCGCACAACGTCGGCTCACTGCAACTTCCACCTTCTCGGTTCAAGGGATTCTCCTTCCTCAGCCTCTCGAGTAGCCGGCACTACAGGCACTCGCCACCAAACCCGGCTAATTTTTGTTTGTTTGTTTGTTTGTTTGTTTGTTTGTTTGTTTTGAGATGGAGTCTCGCTCTTGCCTTCGCAGACTGGAAGAGTTCCTTGGAGTTCCTTGCTCCTGGAATATTCTGGCCTCAGGGATACCTGCTAGTAGGACTAAGGCAGAAAAATTAAGTGAAGGCTCATGGTGAATTCTCCCTGGAAGCAGGGCCAGGCCCTAACACCTGCTTAGGCGGTGGCAGTGGCACCACCTCAGGTGACTCTTTGGTGAAGTGAGTGATGATGACTATACTTCTCTGCCCTTGTCCATGGGAGTGGCTGAAGTGGATATATGGATTTGAAATGCTTCTAATCCTCATTAACTGTATTAACTTTGCTAATGGAGAAATGTCATGTTACATGATTAGAATATAGACCAGAGGGCCCTGGGCTCAAATCCTGCCTCTGTTGATAAGACATGTGACTTCGGGCTGGGCATGGTGGCTTACACCTGTAATCCCTGAACTTTGGGAGGCCGAGCTGGGTAGACTGCTTGAGCCCAGGAGTTCAAGACCAGCTTGTGCAAAATGGGGAAACCCTGCCTCTAAAAAAAAAATACAAAAATTAGCTTGGTGTGGTGTCACGTGCCTTTAGTCCCAGCTGTACAGGAGGCTGAGGTGGGAGGATTAGTGGACCCCAGGAGGTTGGGGCTACAGTCAGCCAAGACCGTCCCAGTAAACTCCAACCTGGGTGACAAAGTAAAACCATTAAAAAAAAAAAAGAAAAAGAAAAAAGATATAAAGACATGTGACTTTGGGTAGACTGGTAGAACTTCTAGGCCTCAGGTCTCTGAGTGTGACATGGAGATGACGATGGTAAACTCAGGGGCTGTGGCCCTTTGCCTCAGTGTTTTGTTGTTGTTGTTGTTTTCTTTTAACAGTTTTT